CCTGGGCTGCACTTTGCATGGACAACCAGGACCGTGTGCACTGCGAAGTCTCGGCCATGCACAGCGCGTTTCCGTCCGAGTTGCGAGGCGGGGATGCCCGGGCGCATTTGTTTTCTGAGGCCTATGTCCGCCGCGTGAACGAGTCGGCGACAGAGGCATTGTGCGGCGACGGGCTCTTGTAGCTCTTTCACAGAACGAAGCCTAGTAGGCTTTGTGTAGACGCTTCGTAGAGCAATTCGTGTTTACTTTGCCATGTCATGTGCTCTCTGCTCTATGCTCCGTCGTGCGCACGATGCGCGCCCGCATCAGTCACACTCCGTGCCTCCTAAATACGCGCTTTCATCTGACGAGTCTTCTGCCACGTCGTCGCACCCATCGGAGGAGGACAACTCATCGCTCTCGCCTCCGCTGCAGTCCCCTCCGACGCTCTGAACCGTAATTACTGGCAGCCCCGCTGCTTCGCCCGAAGCTTTCGCGGCGTCGGCTCTATCAATGCGACGCTTCGCAAGACCAGCACGGACTGCAGCTGACCTAGCGTCGGTCGCCGACTCCACATTATCCGCATCCCGATTCTTGCAGCCTGCGCAAGAGCACAGAAGACATAAAATTCCGCTCTTGAAGCATCGACATCTTGACGAGTCACATCCGCTTTTGCAGCCGCACGCAACGAGCGGCGCCTGCATCTGCTCCTGCGTTGCTCGCACCATAGCCTTCGTCTCGAATAGAACGCTTCCGTCTTCATTGTACCCGTGCTCAACGCAAGCCGGAAGAGAATTTTTGTTGCACACAAATCGGGGGGCCATTCTCCAGTAAGATAGCAAAATCCCCGCGCAAAATCTCAGTATCATCGTGCGACTGGGATGCTCGTCATGAGCGGTGGCGATGGCGCTGCTCCCAGATCTCTATCTGAGCAAATAACGCAACGAAATGCGCACCCACGTAAAACTGACGCGATGGCGCTTCCAACGCGCGGGTGCCCGCGCTTGCCGCTCTTCAACTCCGCCGGTGGCGATGGGAAACGCTGCCGCGCGCCGTCAATCGCACCACACGGACCTGTTAAGGCGGTTTTTTCTTCCTCGCCGCTACTAAATTTGCATTGCTGTCAGATGAAAATCGGGCTCTCAAAAACGGGAATGGAGGCGAGCACACGGGCTGCCTATGCAAGAGCATTAGGGCAAACCTGGGGTATGTAAAGCAATTGGTGTAAGCCGTATCTTACGTCTGTTATCGGATAAAGCCGTATATTGGAGGACGAGGGAAGTAAGGATGGTGCTGAGGCGCAACCGTTCATGTAGTGGGGAGTTCGCAGTGCGAGTAGCAATGTAGTCGGCAACGATGTGTAGGCCTCGTTGCGTGCCGGGGCCTGAGGCCCCGTAGATATCCCATGCCAGGGGGTGCAGCTGTACGGTGGTAGTGGGGGAGCAGACATCAGCGTAAGTCTTGTGCTTATCGCGCTCTGCCTGCGCGATCTTTTGCGCAGAGGTCCGTGACCGCCAGCCACTGTTGCGAGAATGAGGGCTGACAATGGTAACATCGAAGGCATGCGGACAGGGAGCAAAACTAGGGTCGTCTGTCGTGCACTACAGCCACGTGTGGCGGCTGTAGGCAGAGCGACGCGCGTTCGGACGCGTAAGGAAATTCGGGAGACCACCCGGTGGATGACCGGAGCCGGGATCCGGGCGCGGCTTGCGCGGTAGAGAAGTAGCAAAGTAGTCAGCAATAAAAGGGGGAGGAATTAAGAGAAAAACAGAGCTAGCAGGACGGAGAGCACAGTAGTTGACGTAGGTCTCGCGCGGGGTGATCGACGCGCGCGGGGAAGGCAGTTGGGATTCCAGGGGTGTAGATGGCTCGGTCGGTATGGGCGAGCCAGTACCGAGTCGAGGCTACAACCTGGAATCCAGAAACCAAGGTAAGAGACCCGAGGCTTCGTGCCTCTTTACTTTGATAATCGGGTTGACTATATAGTCCCCCGTCGCCGTAATGGCGAAGCTAAATTATACTGTAAATTAGAATAACTAGGAAATAACGGGTGTAGCCCCGAGGGGACCAAGTACAGCCCTCATAGGCCCTATAGGTCGCGGAGGGATTACACGTGTCCACGGGGAGGTCCGGTAGAGCGGCAGGGGAGTCCACGTGTACCCGTGGTACACGTGGTGGCGGCGAGCGTGATTTTTGGCCGATCAGGACAGCTGTCCCGGTACCGAGTACAGTGCACTACATCGTCCACATAGACATCAATCCGACGTTGTTCCGCTTGAGTTTTGTCGCGGTCTGGGGGCACACGCCATTCAGAAATTGCGTTAACAGTGTTCGGGTAAGGGGACAAAAAGCTCAGTAGACGGTTCCGCAATATGTTATGGCGGCGCGTAGAGCCATCGTCACAGGAGCAGATAGTCGCGTGGTGGCCATAAACATCCAGGGTAGGAATCGGGCGTGTGCGGAGAGGTAGGCGGTGTTCTGTTTTGCGGTGTTGGCTGGCAGTGCAAGATGGGCAAGGATCAGTGACATTGAAAATGGGATTGCCCAATCGGATCCTACCCTTCGAAGGGTATGTCTCACAAAGTGCGGATAGTCGCAGTGGAGACCGACGGCGTCGCTCGTATTTTCGCCGATTCTTTGGATACAAGTTGGTACCCCCCAAAGTTGAACGGAATAAAAAAATAAATGAGAAAACATCTTCTGCATCACTTCTGGTCTCCATTATAGTCTCATTTCAACCACAATCCTACCCAGTACACACTACTTGAGCCAATAGGCGTGCAGAAGATTCAACATGACTGTCATATTTGAAAAGATATACCTGTTTGAATCCGCCATTTGTGCAAAATTGCACCCGAGAATTGAACAGCCAAATGGTTGGCCAGTGCAAACAAAATGCAAATTTTTTACTCAAAAAGGTCTTTCCTGACACTCACGCGCTGATCTGTCAACTCCATTTCGTTAACTGTCTTGTGCTGCGTTCCGTGCAGCAAATTCCCGTTTCGCAGCAATGAGTTTCCGCGCCGACTGCCGTCTCAATGGCATGGGACGAACAGAACCGTTCGGAACGCCCTACTTAAGCACTCCGGCATGCAGCGAACGCTTCTCGAATTCTAATCGAGCATTTTTTGTGCGCTCGTATGTTATTGCGTCCTTTTCGGCTTTTTCTGCCTCCTTCCAACTCTTTTCCGCCCGCTTCGCGGTATCAAAACCATCTCGCTCCCTTTCCATTCTTAGCGCCTCGCTCGAGGTGAGGCATAAGCCATTTGTGGTATTGACAAAACCATTTTGCAGAACAACAGGTTGCAAACCTATCAATTGACGCTGTTTTGCCCGTTTCTCGTCGATCATTTTTCAATATCCTGTACTGTAGCAAGCGTATTGGAGTGTTTAGAGGACCACGGTAGTGGCGTGTAGGTCAGACTTCTCCAATTAAGAAGATGGACGCCGGATTTTGCAAAACTGGACGTTATGTTCCATCTTGTAAATGCCTTTTCGTATGCTGTTCTCACGATTTTCAAGAAATCAAACACATTGTATTCGTTGTGGCTCATTGGCGACGACAGACCTTCCAAAAAGTTTCGCAGGTGTGCTTTAAATGGACTGAAGACTCCCACATCCAGCGGCTGAGTAACTCCACTTGTATGCGCCGGCAACGCATAAACAATTGTGCCACCCTCCTCCAGCATTTGTAAACCCCTGAATCTCATATGGGAACGATAAACATCTAAAAAAAAAGTACTTTCCTCCCTTGAGTCGTCAACTCTTTGCAATCGTCAACAAATTTTTTTGCCCAGTTGTAAAAGTTCACAGAATCAACTCCAGCTACATCCTCTTTCACAGTCACGGTACTGTTTTTGGGCAACAATCTGCAAACGTTTCCATTATTTCGCCACTGTCGTTGCCATCAACAACTCTGTATTTGAGGCGTTTCCCTTTCAACATAAAAAGACAGCGATCAACACAACCACTTGCAAAAACCACGGGCATCATTGTCACACGTTCGATGTTCTTAAATTCAGGGGAGCGAAGCTGTGCCCGAGTCGCTCGAGTGACGAAACTTTTTCGATGGTCGGACTGGAGGCAATCCTTGTTCGGGGATATTCCTGTTTCGTCAAGGTTGGCGATTCGATACTTATCAATTTTGTGTACATCTATGATGCGTGAACCTCCAAAAAGTGAGTGGTTAGAGTGTCAGCATTACATGCTTTGAACCTCACCTCTTGTTCCTTACTGCATCGTCGAAAGCAGATAGAGTCGGAGTGGCGTTCAATAAATTTTTTAAGAAGCGTCGGCCAGGTCTGCAATTGATAAAGGGGAGCTTCGCACGACGCTCTACCGGTAGAGATTGAACAAGCATCTGCACTGCATCGAGTATGTCCTCTCGACCGAGTGGGAATCCCCTTGATGAGTACTTGTTGGTGAGTTCCACGATGACGTTTTCTTCTTCGCGGTGAAGATATGTCCGCGATAATGTGGTCTGAACACGATGGAATCTTTTGTACTGGTATTGGAAGTAGAAAGTGGAAGTCCAGCTATTGTAGCAGCTTTCCTGCGACTGGCGCCGTGCCTGTCGACCGCAGCGACGGCCTTTTCAATGCGTCGGTCTGCCTTTGATACCGTTCGCGACCTTCCCATTCCTGCCAGTGTGTGGTTTTGGAAATGAGCTGGTGGCTCGAGTTTGCATTTATTTGCAATGCGTGGCGTCATGTAGGTGTTTATTGCATCGCCAAATCCGAATATGGTGACAAAAGGGTCCTGTTTTCATTTCGCGCGAAGCTACGCCGAGTTAAACATTTCAGGATTGCCATCAATCTGATCGTTTTTTGCATTATGTTAAATCTTGAATATAAAATTAACTTTTAGTTTTGTTCAACAACGGAGTACAGTGTTCAACTTTGGGGAGTACCAACTTGTACCTGCGAGCCTCACGGCATCGCCTACTGTCCGGGTTCATTAGGCTGGCGTCGTCAAGAAATCTGTCAAACTTGCGAGTGACGTAGGAATTGGCATTGCAATCAATGTCGCCGTTGCCTGAACAAGAGGCAAAGCTTTCAACAAGGACTTTTTGGGAGTTGAAGCAGATTTTTTCCGCAGCGTCTTGTCCCGTAAGTTCTTCAAATCGAGCGGGATGATTTTTCTTGCCCAACTCGCTCAGCAAAGACCAAAAGCCCATCAATCCCATACTGACGCAAGTGGCTTTTGCAAACTAAATTCTTTGTTTTATACCGCGTCTTTCTGAATAACTCGTTGTCTCTGTAGCTCTTTCCAGATGTTTTCATCTTTGCCCTCATCCCCGTCGCAGTAGTCATGTACATGGTCGGAGGATATTACCTTATTTTGGCTCCGGGAAACATGTACAACGCCATAGTGAGCGAAGACTGGCGCATGTTTCGCGAGCAGCTGACAAATTATGCCGCCTGGACAACGGCCGTCCTTGTGATAAAGGTCGGACGGGGAGTTTTGCGAGAATCCTCTGCTAACCATTTACGGAACCGACTCACTTCTAAACTCCATGATCTCTACATGGGATCTTCTGATCAAGAAAAGGGATTCGGAGCATCCCCGTATTACACGGTGGCCATCCAACAAAAGCTAGACAATCCAGACCAAAGGATCGTTGCGGACGCAAGAGAGTTTTCCTCCTCTTTACTCAACATCTTCGCTGGCGGTTCGGCCACGAGTGCAGATACTGGAGGCCTTATTGAAGCCTTTGCTTCTATATTCTTCTATTCGCGGCAGACTCTTCTTAGAACTGGGTGGTACGGAATTTTGGTGGCCTACGTTTGGTCCCTTGTAGTTGGCCTGCTGTCAATTTATGTGATAAACCGTACGTCACCAGCCTTATACCGACAGGAAATGCTCGAAGCCGACTTTCGCTTTGGTCATACGGAGCTGAGGCAATGCGCCGAAGAAGTAGCCTTCATGGGTGGTGCCCCGTTTGAAAAAAGGAAGCTTTCTCGCCGCCTTGGACGAGCCGTGTCAAACATGTGGGTTGTCATTGTGAGGCATATCTTTCTCAATGTCGTGCAATACGGTTTTGGCTACTACATTTCTTTGGTCATGTACTTGGCTATTGCCCTCGCCGTTCATACCAATGTCTTCTCTAGCTCAGGGGCATCGTTTTCGTCTGATATGACGCCAGGGGAGAAAGCGCAATGGGTATCCCAAACAGGAGGAATTTTTATTCAGCTTTTGTATGCATTCACAATGGCAATACAGCTTTCATCCGCAATTTCCATTCTCGTCTCGAACACCAGCCGTGTTTCGGCAATCATCACAGAGCTGGAAGGGAATGATGAGTATCGCCGTGACGCACAGAACCCAGATCTTGAACCTCTCATACGGCTCGACAGTGGAGACCGACCAAGCGTCACTTCGTGTGCTCTTTCGGAAGGAATATCTGCGCACGGCCTCTGCATACACCTGGGAACGAAAGCATCGGTGGGACCAATCTCTTTTTCGATGAAGCAAGGAGAGTGGCTGCTCATAGATGGACCTAGCGGTTCAGGCAAAACGAGCATTCTTAGAGCTCTGCGAGGGCTGTGGGTGCCATCGTCGGGATCCATAAGAATCCCCACAGACGAGAAAGAGGTGATGTTCGTCCCACAAGTCCCTTACATTTCTTCAGGCGCATGTACGTTGCGACAGTTGGTCATGTATCCACAGCAATGCGACTACTCGCCCGACGAAACAAGGCGTGTAATATCAGCGCTGGGGGCTGTCGGATGGCGACGTGGGAGCCGGGAGAGCGAGCTTGACAAGGAAGAAGAGTGGTCAGCGCGATTGAGCCCCGGCGAGGCGCAGCTTCTGGCCATGGCTCGCGTCCTAGAAAGAAGACCAGCGTATGCTGTTCTAGACGAGCCGACTTCGTCGATGGACATCGAACACGAGAGACAAGTGCTAACAGCGTTGAAGCAAGCCGGGATTTCAGCGCTCACGGTCGGGCATAGACAGTCTCTGCCCCCCTTGCACGACCGCGTCGTCTCGATTCAACATTGCGAAGACTGGCCTGGCCGACAGGCGTGATGTAAATAGCGAACGCGCCCTCCTTTGCAAGCGACGAGAAACAACTGTACAGTAGATGGTTTACATATTAGAAAAGCGTTGTTGAAGACATGACAGTTGTTTTGAGGGTGCGTGACACAAAACTGCAAAGACCAGAAGAGCGTCCCTTCCCTCAACGTGAAGACGACACCTCGGCGGTTTGCGGCTGGGTCTGCTGCACGTCGGCACCTTCCGCCGACTTTGTTTCTGCCACATCAGGCTGCTCCATTTTCCCTTCTGCCAGGTTTGGATCGCCATCCTCATCTACCGGGTAGTCTTCCGGATGAGCGACCATGCACGTCTGCATTGCGGAAAATGAGTCAATACAATTCATGCCCTTGGGCTCAGTTTCACTCTCCAAAAAGCAACGGTATGCCGACGTGAAGGCGTCACCGCATGGCCCGTCCCTCATGGCGGCAATGCAGGGGCATGCCAAGGCCTCCTCGACCATCTCCTCCTTGGAGAGGGTGGGCGTGTCCTCCGCGGGGTCAGCGGGGGGCGCATCTCCACCTGCGATGACTTTGTGTGCATCTGCGTTTTTCTCTTCGAGCACGGCCGCGTCTAGTGCTTCCGACAGCGCGGAGAGATCATCCGGGGCGGACGGGGTTTGCTTGTCGCTTGGCAGCGCGTTTTCCGCAGCAGAGGCAGCATACACCTCCGCATCCGAGTCGGGGATTTCCGGGGCTGGGGCAGACGCAGCCTCGGGCGCCTCTGGAGTCGACATTCTGGGGGTGAGGAGGAAGAGGGTTCTGCGGGGCGGGCGAGTGGCGGAGGCGTGGGAGCGGCAACTTAAAAAAGAGGCAATGGAGCACAGGATCGAGTGGGTGTGAGATGCAGCACGGCCGGCGCCTTTTGGTGGCGTGCTCCACCCAATCATATACCGCACCATGTTACATTTCTGTAGGTATGAAAAGCAAACCCTTTTCCATCCTATGTCTTCGTCTTTCTCTCCCCCGCCGCCAACCCCCCACTCCAACTCCCCACTCTTTTCACAATATGCAACGTACAATATCATGCAGAGGCGTACTTTCTACAACAATAACGTACAATCAACCACCGCAAGCACTTGTAAGGTGCCCAAATGCAGAGTCACGTCCATTGACAGAGCCTTCCTGGGATGGAAGGCCTACTGGCTCCATAAAATATCTGCAAAAATTATATCAAAGCACGGGCCAAAACACTCCCCACGCTCCGTGGCGGATGGAAGTCCCGAATCTCGGACGGAAGGCCTATTCGTCGGATGGAAGGTTTCATCGCTGGTTTCATCCCTGTCGCAGCCCTCGTTATGATCATTCTTGACATGGCACTCACCTGTTGGCTACTTTGAATCCCACTCTTCCTGCCTTTCAGGTTTGAATGCCCTTTTTCCCGCCTTAAACTGTACTCACTGGCTCTCTCTCTTTTAACTGCTGCTTTCCATCTAAGACACCCATCCATTGGCCATTCCCTCTGGAGACACCCATCCATTGGCCATTCTCTCTTGGGACACCCGTCCATTGGCTACAGAATTCGTACAACTATCACCGGCCAGTTGGGAGACTGCGTGTCAAATGTAGAGTGGAATTATGGGAGTTGCGAATGCCAACAGCGGCGGCAAGTCTGGTCGGACCATCACAGATCCACTGACCGGATGCTACCGCTTCAATAGTTTTGTACGAGCGTAGAAACGTGTCTGTTTTTGCGAATGTGGCAGGGATTCTGAATATACTTGTAGGGGAGAGCGCGAGGAGGATGGCTTTGCGAATACCGCCGGCATGCAACACCCGTAATTAGCGGGAAGAGTTGCCCTTGCTCATGCTCATTAATGGCCCGCCGTCCACGTCCATCTCTACAATCCCCACTGCGCCCCTCTCAAGCTGCCCCCGAACGGCACGTTGCTCCGACGTGCATCCGAGCTGCCCCTGCTCTCCAAAATTGATAGCAACAAATCGATGGCGACCTGAAAGCATCCCTGACCTGCATCACGGCGAGCTCGGCGGCGAGCTCCAGCGGGCACGTAGAAATCGGAAAGCAGGCGGCTGTGGCCCGGAGAGCATTCCCCGCTTGCTCCCCGACTGCACGGGGACAACGAGGCAATGGGTGTAGTGCAGAAACGCACGAGGCGCGACCACCATCCGCAGTCAACTGGAGGGTCACGCACGGATAGGCGAATGTGTACAATGAAGGGGAGTAGGGCGTATATATTATATATTAGGAATTTAGGGGAGTAGGGCGTATATATTATATATTAGGAATTTAGGGGG